GGGCTTAGTTCCAGTACCTGCCACTGATGTGATGTGTAACCTTGGACAAGTCACTTCACTTCTATGTCTGTTTCCCTCCATCTTTTGTGTCTCATCTGTTTATAAGCTCTTTGGAGCAAGGATTGTCTAATGTATAGTTCCTAGCACCACACACCATTGTACAAAACAAAAATACAGGTACAGACTGCATTATTGTGAGAAGAGTATTTAGGTCTTCAGGTGATCTTTGCAATAATTGAACAGCTGGCAAATTGTTCAGAAATCATCTAATTTTAATCATCAGCTAGGAATAGTCTCAGGAAGTAATCTTAAGTCCCCAACAGAAGTTTGAGAATCAACTAGACATGTCCCAGAAAGAGAACATGGGGTATGTTTTATGTCAAGGTCAATACTTATTAACCAGTGAGAGTGACTTTTAAAAAGCTTTGTCATGTAATGTGGCTGCCTTAAATTTTTATAAATACAAAAAAAAAAATCAGTGTTGTATTAATACTTAGCCCTTTGAAGATCTAAAGTGCTGTCTACATGTCAACATAATTACTTTACTTCTTCTTCAAGTAGTGGCTCCAGAGTGAGTTTTGACATAGAAGAAAGTTTAGTGAAAGAAATGTGACCCAAAGCAAAAACGTGTGGGATAAGGACTGAGGGGAAGACTAAGTGGAGAAGAAAAACTGAAGAAACAAAGCTTTGAATAGTGGATGTGAAAGTCAACTAAAGACTGGGGTGGGGAGTGTAATGAAAAAAAGTGTCTCCACCTTCTGTGCAGGCTTCCTCAATGCTCAGCTCCTACCCAGTCTGCTCTGCTGGAGATGGAGCGTGGCACTGAGAGCCAGAAAGCCTGATGTGGGTCACACTCCCTCTCTGACCCCTCTGAGTCAGGTAAATGGCTCAGAGTAGTGTAAAGAGATTCTAAAAGCCTTTGATCTGACTAGCAGAGAGTTCTCCCAGGGCAGGAACGGAGGAAGATAGTGATAGACCTCCTTGCAAGCCCTCATATAAGAGTGGGGGCTGGGCCAAAATACACAATGGTGTGTAGCTTTTGGGCAGCACTGGTGTCCCTGGGCAGCTGGGGTTAGGTTGCCATAACTTTGCGCACACACATACCGTCTAAATTATACTGCTTGCCTGTTGGGCCTCTGCAACAGCCCAAAACTGGGAACACTGAAAGCCGTTTTATCCCCACTCACCCTGGGGTGTGAGTTCTGAGCTGGGCAACATGCCTATGATATAATTACAATACCCGTTTTATCACCTTGTCATAATTGACCAGTCAACACTGCTGAGAAAAGTTCTGTTTTATATTCGGGAAGTCAGAGCAATCAGGATGATATTGTTCCAAATATTTCTGCTTTCAGACAGGCCAGTTCTACTCACCTATGCATGACGCTATTTGGAGAACATATTGTTCAGAGCTTAAATATTTAGCTTCTGTGGTTGTACAGTGCAATGGATTAGGTTGGTCTTTAGGCATTCATGTAATAAACATGATTAATAACAGACCCCAATATAATGAACTTCCTCCTGCTGTTTTGAAAAAAGTCTCTATCAAACAAGTTGGTAAGATTGTCAGTTTCCCTCTGACCCATAAGACCTTTAACAAATACATTGCATTGTAGAGAAAGTATCTCCCTGAAATATCTTATAGCACCTTTCATTTAAAGGTCTCAAACCACTTTACAAACATTGACTGACAACCTTACTAAAGGTCCTATAAGGTAGGCAAATACTAGAGCAAGAGAGAACCTTCTGCTATCTCTGCAATGCTACCGTTTCTGGGGTAGAATACAGCACCCATATAACCGTGCACAGCAGTACTTTACAGGGGGAATTTAGCTAGGCGATATGTAATTATGTATATTGAATTTTGTCCGAGACACCTTTTCTCTTAAGAAATTTTTTCCAAGATCCCTAATTACAATATATTGGCAAGACCTTGGTTTTATGTCTTATCGAAAGGACAGCACCTCTAGCACTATATCGTGTGCTACAATGAAGTTGGGGTTCAGTACAGGCTTTGAGGGAAGTGTACTACTTAGTGAATGACTGATACTGCCTCCTGTAGCTAGGTTTTCCTAGAATCCATTCTATCCAAATGCTAATCCAGTTTAGTTTGAAAAATCTGAAGGGGTATAGTTGCAAAGTGAGACATGAATATGAAAATGTACATAAATTTTTTCAGCTCCCAGTGGGAGTCTTTTCATTAACTTCAGAGGGAGTCTGATTGGGCCTGAAGAGAAGAGGATCAGAGTAGCATGGAAGAAATGACTAACAAACTAGGTGACATACAAAGAGGGAACATTCAGCTTTTTTTAGCATTAAGAGGGGGAATAAATAAGCCACAGTAGATCAGATGGTTAATGTCATTTTGCTTTGAAAAACTCAAGTGGGAGCAAGCAGTGTTTTCGAGCACCCAGAAGCATAAGGTACTGAGGGTACTGAGCATTAGATGGTGGGAGACAAAAGGCCATAGCTTCAGGAAGGGACACAAGATAAAGCACACTTTAAAGGTCCTGATTTTTAAGCTGTAGATTTGCACAAACTTACACTGTATGTTAATCCATGTTCTTTATGATTCTGAAAAGAAGTGCCAGTTTATGCAGTAGTCCTAATTAACTGCACAATCTTGTGCCAGTTTTGACTAATTGCAATACAAGGTTTTTTAAAAAGAACAAAACACTTTCTAATCCAAATCAGTGTATTGAATCTTTTTCATGGTTATTTATTTTTTGTACATTAAAGACTGATTGATTTTAAGAGTGTTTCTTGTATTATTTAATAGTTTCAGTGCAACCTAGTTA